CACTGCCTCCCACCTGCCATGGGCAGGTGAGCTGGGCCCGGGCTGGTGGGGGTCAGTGGGAGATCTGGGGGACTGGCCTCTGACTCCGGGAGGGACAGGAGGGCGCCGCAAGGCCCCGAGGGGCCTCTGTGGGCCTCGCTTGCTTGCTGTCTGGTGCCCTGGAGGACGGGGCAGGGGATGGGGCCGGTGGCCCACAAAGCTTACGGGTGGATCTCTCACCATCCTCCAGGTCGTACGTCAACACGTTCACCGTGAGGCCCGGGACGCGCCATCCCATCTCCTACGCCTACCCTCGAGCCCACCGGAAAGCCACACCCTGAGCCTTCGGCTCTCAGCTCTGCTCCGAGGGTTTGGGCCTGGGAATTTGTCATTGTGGGGGGTGGGAGGGTCGAAGCAGAGTCAGCCTGATCCAGACACGGAAGAGTCTTGGTTCCCCACAGACAGACGGCCAATGAGGACAGGAAGCTGAGAAAGGAGCCAGGGCTTTATTCCCAGTGCCGTGGTGTGGGGGGGCAGGGCCCTGCAGGTGGGGGTGGGGAGGGCCAGAAGGGAGAAGAGCAGGAGTTTTACGCACTCTGAGCTTCTGCTATCTGCTACCATTCGCTTTAGTGATTCACTGAAAGCGGTCTTGCAAGCCCGGACTACTGAGCAGGTAGTCTTCCCTGGGAGCAAAGGCTAGGTGAGAAGTCTCCCCGAAATCCGTGGGGCACTGGGTGCTGCGGGGTGGGTTCCCATCCACATGGTCCTGCTCTTAGCTCCACCGAGTCCCAGGCAGAGACACTTGGTGAGCAGGGACAGGAGGCCGAGGATGAAGGCTGCTTTCCCAGTTCAGACCCAGGCAGCCCTCAGGATTGGGCGCGGGGAGCCACGGTGACAGGCCAGGTCCCGAGTGGGGGTCCCTGACCCCACTGTTACTTATGCAGGCCAAGATGCTGGCAGGCCTTGAAAGCGGAAGATGGGAACACAGGTCCCAGAGAAGTCAGGGAAGGTGTTTCAGGAAGTCAGGAGAACCAGGACTGGCCAGCCTGAGCAGGGACCTGTGAGTGGGGTGACCATTTGTCCCGTGTCCCAGCAGGCCAGACATGCCTGTTCCCAGAGAATTAGAACCCTTTAAAGTCCAGCTTGGTAGGACAGCATCATGTTTGCTCTCAGTTTTGTCCCTGGGCCCCAGCAGTAGGAAGGCAGGGTTGGTCCCTCACAGGGCCGGCCAGCGAGTAGCTTCCCTTGGGAGCAAGATACTGGATCATTAGCCGAGGTCCTGGGCTGCGGGACAGACAGCAAGTGAGCCACTTCCAGGGAAGACAGCGTAGGGTGCTTAGCACTTCGGTGGCCCCGGCCAGTCAGCCTGGAGAGACAGGGTCCGGGTCCCCAGGTTCAGGATGCAGCGCTACACAACGCCAGCCCTAGCTCTAGAAATATGCATGTTTCCTTCGCCGCATTTTAGAAAAGAGATCACTAATTCATCTGCGGTGCTGAGGCTTGAGGAAGGAGTGTGACACTCGCTCTGGGGTGGGTGGAGAAGGGCTGCGTCTCCCTTGGCTTGGGAAATAAACGAGCCAGTTGGGACTGGCCTCCCGCTCTGCCCGAGACGATTCAGAGCTCCTGGGTGTGGGAGACGCCGAACACAGGGCCTCCGCCAGCCCTGCTGCCCCGCCTCAGGTTTTCCTGTTCTCCAAAGCCCTTGGGGAAGAGCAGAGCCTAGGTGAGTGTGAGCTGTCCACCGGCAAGGCTCTTGAACTCTTCTGGACACCACAGCAGTGTTTGTCTCCTGAGGCTCTGTGAAGATGGGAGACGGCCAAAGCACTCATCTAGCAAGGATTTGGGTGGCTGCTGGGTGCCGGGCAGTGTGCTCGGCACGGGCGTACAGCCGTCCACACACGGCCCTGACTCCTGGGCAGCAGTGGAGAGAATAAAAAGAGTACAGAATCGTGGAAATGAAGCTTGCTGCACCCGCGACCCCTGCGCCGAGCACGTATCACTGGGGAGGGCGCCGAGGTCCAGAAGATCACGGGAGGGCGGGGATGCCAGTGCGGAAGCCCCTCTAGCACCTGGGCAGGGCCGGAGTTCCTGGGCGGTAGGTAGACCCACCCTGGTTTCTGAGCCTCCAGTGCTCCCCGGGCAGGCCCAGAACCAGAGCGCCACCTTCAGGCTGGGCCTGACCTGGCCCAGAGCTGCCGCATGGAAGGGGCCCATGGGCCTGCGAAAGAGCTCTCCCTGGGGTTTCCCTCTGCGAGGCCAGCCTGCTTGTCCCACTCCCTACCCTTTCATCTTCTGTCCGCCCTCTCCCCAGCAGCCCATATGCACCGTTAACTCAAAGGCTACCTGCTTCATTTATCTCAGTAGCCCCAGTTCCTGGTGCTGTCCTTGGCACAAGCAGATACTCAATATGTTTGTTGAATGAAAACATGTTAACACTTTTTTATTTTAGTGGTGGTGGTACTGGAAATTGAACCCAGGGCCTTCCACACCCTAGGCAAACCTACTACCGAACTGCAGCAGCAGCCTTCATTTTGACATAGGATCTCACTAATTTGCCCAGCGTGGTCTGGAACTTGTGATCCTCCTGCCTCAGCCTCCTGGAAAGTTGGAATTCCATACTTAATCAGATATCATGAAGCACTCTTTAGGTGCCTTAAAGGCCTATCTGCAACAGACTTGCAAACACCTGACCCTGCTCTTTCTACATGTGTGTCACCCAACTACCGCTGAGCTTGCAGGTAGCATGAAGGTGCAGTCTTAGGGACAGGCACCTAAGGTTTCATCACGAAAGTATCAGGGCACCTTGATGTCAGCTCCTGCCTGATGGGCCAAAGCTCAGTGCCCTCAAATGGAGACTCAGGAGCTAGGAAGTGATGACATCACTTCAGGAGCTAGGTAAGGACATCGGAGGATTTGGTTGTTGCTGTTTTTGTGGTACCGGGAATTGAATGTGGGGCTTTTTCGCTGAGCTACATCCCCAGTTCTTATTTATGACATTGTTTTATTTTATTTTGGGGGCAGGGTCTCTATGTGTTTCAGTCTGGCCTTGAGCTCACCATGTAGCCCAGGCTGGCCTTGGACTCATGGCAGTCCTCCTGCCTCAGCCTCCCAAGTGCTGGGATCGCAAGGCATGGGCCACCAGTACACCTGGCGTGTTCTTAGAAAGGGCTAGGGCAATGATGGCGAACTTATGGCACACGTGTTGTTTTCCTTCTAAAAGAAAAGATGGTAGTGCACGAGTTGTCTTTTCTAAACTAAAACTTCATATTTGGGTTTGATTGCAGTGTTGGCGCGCTGTGATAAGGGAGTCTGGGCCCTGGTCTCTGAAAGGGCCACGTCATGGGTTGGGCCATGGGGACCTTGGGCCGCCGCGGAACAAGACAAGGCCCCCGTCCCCGGCCGGGGTTCCCAGCCCCGCGGCCTGAGCCCTTCAGCCCCTTGCCCTTCCTGTTCCCTCTGGGGGCTTGGACG